TATCAAATGCTCAAAACACCCATTTTCCTCCAAAACATTACCAATACTAGCCTAATAAGTTCCAAATTCATAGTTTCACTTATTTTTACCAAATTCCACAATAAATCAATGATAAACCATGATTATAACATCAATTTCTACTAATTTCATTGTATCTCAAATTGACTCCTAAAACTCAACACTTGTTCTTGAGCTAGTATCACATTTTCAAGAAATCTTACAATCCATCCTTGGATTTCACATACTAACTAATAATAACACTTAGTCCTAACATAATTTCATGATTTCATCTGTAAATCATCACATGCAAGGACTCAAACTCTATGCATGTCATCAAAATTAAGATAGAATATGAGTTTTACCTTCGATTTCTATATAAATCCTTCAATAATCTTGATAAAACACTTGATTTAGGGATAGATTAACTCCCAAGTGTGTGTAATCGCACCTTAGAACACCAAGACTGATTTTGAGAGAAAACGGGGTTGAAAATGGGGCTGATTTGATAATTTCTGACCTAAATCCCGAGTTGGGTCGGGTTGACCCGGCTGGGTACCCGTTTTGACCCCTAAACACTAAAAAAACTTGCATAACTTTTTGCTCGGGACTCCGTTTTCGATGAGGTTTTCACCTACGCGTCCGAAACGAGATAAMCTACAAGCTCCAATAAAAAGATTCCATTGTTAGAACCCAATGCTCAAAACCATACCTGAAAAGTCGATATTTTCAACACATAATTAAGCGTATTAGGAAGATGGATGTTACAAATACCTCCTCCTTTTGAGGATTTCGTCCTCAAAATCAAGGTCTCTCAAATAACTCCGGATACTTAGCCTTCATTTCATCTTTGTTCTCCCACGTCCAATTCGGACCACGGTGATGCTTCCATTTAACAAGGACCAAATCTACGATCTTGTTTTCTAGATTAACGGTTCTTTCATTAAGAATGGCTTCAGGTTCTTCTATGTACCTCAATCTTTTATCCAACTTGACCTCGCCAAAGGAACGGTCTCCTCATGCTTACCCAAGCATTTCCTTAGATAGCTAACGTGGAAAATGTCATGAATACCGGAGAGTTCTTCTAGCAACTCCAAATGATAAGCTTGTTTTCCAATACATTCAAGGATTTTAAAGGGTCCAACGAAACGTGGACTCAACTTCCCTTTCTTACCAAACTGTAGAATTCCCTTCCAAGGTGATACTTTCAGCATCACCATATCTCCCACTTCAAACTGAATCGGTCGTCGTCGTTTGTCGGCATAAGATTTATGTCGATCTTGGGCTGCTTTCATTCTTTCACGTATAACCCGTATCTTATCATGTGTGACTTGAATCAACTCGGGTCCAGCCAACACTTTCTCTTCGGTTTCTCGCCAACAGAGAGGCGTACGGCACTTACGTCCATACAAAGCCTCAAATGGAGCCATACCGATCGTGGAGTGATAACTGTTGTTATACGAGAACTTTATAAGTGGCAAGTGGTAATCCCAGCTTCCACCAAACTCCAAGATACAAGCTCGTAACATATCCTCCATTGTTTGAATCGTGCGCTCTGACTGTCCATCGGTTTGGGGGTGATACGCGGTACTAAGAGCAACACGAGTCCCTAGTTCTCTTTGCATACTAGTCCAAAAATTTGAGGTAAATCGAGAATCA